TTTGCTCCATAACATTAGCATTGACCATCATTTCACCGTCTGAATTTGCCATCACTTTTGTAATTTACAATCCTATTGACAGGAAAATGCTCCTCTAATGCATGGCACAACTATTTTATACAAATGATAAATGTAACCTGGAAACAGACGTGCTAGCTGTCAATCATATGTGACATCCACTGCTGTTGTTTAGAAAATATTTTTATCAAAACATAAACAATACATTTTTGCATATATTGTACAATGTTATTAAGTCTAGAAATACACTTTTTTATTTATTTTAGTTTTTATGATTCTCTGACATTTAATAAGGCTGGCAATTCTCACCATGAAAAAATATTAAACTGATCTAATAACAAGTGAATGTAAATAACAGGGAAATACAGCAATGCAAAAGCCCTGACGTGTGGCACAAATACCATAACAAACATTAGCATACAGTGTATATAGTTTGTTTGTCCATGTGAATGCCACATGACTTAGCCAGCACCACATGAATTCAGAACATAAACATAGACATGAAGCATTGATGACAAAGTTTCATCCAGGTAATAATTGGTGTAAGGGAGATTAAAAAAAAAAAGGAGGGAGAATTTCAAAAATGAGAATCTGATTCATGTGTTTGCAGGTTTATAAACAAACACCAAAAATCTGTCTGCAGAAATTCCAGTGCTGAGAGCCAGACTTGGAAGTGTTTACTTAAACGTTCCCTTTAAAAGACCTTTTCTCATCACTGGTAATGAACCTGACAGCAGCCTTCAACTTCAAAGGGAGCCATCACTCAAGGCGAAAAAAGGCTTGGTTGTGAAAAACAGATTTCAGCCCAAAGAGAGGTTTCACATGTTTATCCTCACGTCCTCCTGCTACATCCCTTCCCATTGGGTTTACATTTGAATGGAGACATTGATGACTTACCAGGCCGTCACAGTTGCTGATTGCCACCGAAGCCTCCGGCATGTCACTCACGTCCCCAGTGAAAACACAGTCCCCATGGATATGTTCCTTGGCCTTTTCCTGATAGTCTTCCTGCCATTCCACAAAAGCCCCAGGGGCCACCAGCCTCCTGTTGGCCCTTAGGCGGAGGTGCAGCTCTTTCCCAAACACGGTGACATTAAAAAACAAATGCTGAGCCCAGGAGGAGGTGACCGGGGGCATGTCAGGGGCACCGCGGGCCACCCTTCTCTTACCGCCTGTGGCAGTGGCAGCAGCGGCAGCAGCAGCAGCAGCAGCAGCAGCAGCATCGTCTTCCACTTTTTTACTTCCACTTCCAGCAGAGACTACATGCGAAATGTACCGGCCACAGGAGTCTGTGCTGAATGGCACGATGAGACCGTATTCTCTTAACTTTCCAGAGAGTTTTTCTGATGGGACAGACAGGGTCAAGTGAGAATGACATTCACTGAGGACTGCTGTGGACTTCAGCAAACATTAAGAAAAAAGGAATCTATACTATTAGCTTTAATATAATAAATCATTTAAAACTACGGTTTACATGTTATGCATAGAAATCCAGGTCAGTATAGTACTGGTTTCATTTGTTCAGAAAAGCAGAGTTGTCAAATTCTGAGCCTTTGTATTTGTTGATGTTTTTTTTTTCTTTTTGCCATACATTAAAAACGACATTCAAACTCCACTGCCTTTAACTCTCGGTGGCACAAAAGGCACAGTGACTGCCAGGAAGTAAAAATAAACTCACCTTGCGTGTCTGCAGCCAAAATGTGTTCTAAAAATACTTGGGTGAGTGAAAAGCACATCAATAAATACATACAATCCATAGTGAGGTTCTGCAGAGGGAGAGCAGTTGCCACTTCAGCGCTCACTTTTCCTTTCTGTTGTAAACTTTTAAGTAAAGTCCTCCCTGCTTCCAGGCACACACAAAAAACCCAAAACAAAACAAAACAAAACAAAAAAAGGCAGAAGAAAAGTCCTGAAAAGTCAAGCTGCAGCGAAGCAAGCGGGCATTTCTCCGCCAAAGTGACGGATATTCACAAGTTGTTCCCAATCTTTTGGCCTGCGCTCAACTGCATAGACCAAGGCTGGCCCATCCATTTAGGGAGCTGAGTGGGGAGGGGGGCGGGGGGGGGGGCATCTGTGGGGGCTGATGACGACAACTCCCCGGCAAAAACCCGGACGGTTTGAAGAGGTAGTCCAATTTCCTTCTTCTCCTTCTCTTCCCTCCTCAGATAACTCCTCAAAAAAAAAAAAAAAAAAAAAAAAAAAAAGCCCGGAGAGGGATTTAACGCACGCCCACGCTGAGGGAAAAAGTGCAGAGGGTTGAGATCCAGTGCGCACAGACAGAGTGTCCCGCTGCAGAAACATCTGCCGCCCAGTCCTGCACCATTACGCACCAGTGGTTCGGCTCACAACTGCTCCACTTAAAACCACCAGCAGCCAACAGTGGGAGCGCTTGCTCTCCACCAGACAACCACAGACTTAGCCAAGTGTTTTTTACAGATCCAAACTGGACTTCCTGCAGTAGCCCTACAATAAAGTCCCGCACGATTAATATCCACATAGACATCGGATTGTTTTTTCATATGCAACGCTGACGTTACATTTGCACGGGTCCAAACGACGAAAGGATACGTCTGAAAAGTTCAAGAAAAGTTGGAAAATAAGACACTATTTACACAACAACAAAACTATTTCTGCACATGTGCCTTAATTAAGTCTGAAATTACCTGCAGAATACCACGGGGTGTCTTTCCTGCTACGTCACAACTAATAGAAAAATAAGAAATAATAATAATAAAAAACATCAAATGTATCCAGATCAAAACCTGTTCCAAAGCTTCAGTACTGCAAAACCAAACCATTTATTATTATTATTATTATTATTATTATTATTACACTGTCATCCAACATATTTATTAACACTGTCCTAGTAAAGTACAAATAAAACATTGTTTGCTCTAAGAGTTGTACTGTTGAAGCAACAGTATGCTTGGATTTACCTGAAAAAGTACTATATTGTTATTTATGAGGATGCAAAGTGGTTTCTTCAATCTGCTTGTATTTTCTAAGTAGAAACAGAGTGAGATGGGTGGACGGCTATTTCAATACATGTTTCACTTTGTGTGTAAAATAATTGCATTAGTTTATGTGATTTTATTTATATAAATATATAATAAAACTAAATGTTAACAAAAGTGGGGGTGTATTTATATAAACCATGTTCTAAATTGTAATTGTAATTTCCTCAGAGTTTTCTCATTAGTTGGTGCAAGCGACAGTCGGCATAATTTAACCATTGCAGTCTAATTCAAATGTTATTAAACAGTCCTCCCAATAATAAAGCTATTTCTTTTAAAAAATAAAAAAGTGGAATGCACAGTTCCAAATTATTATGCACAGCAGAGTTTCAAAAATATTTCACAGCTTGTAAAGAACTTGTAAAGAAACCAAAAGCTGTTTCAATCAAGTTCCATTTGAACATACTGTTGTATAAACTGTACATATCTGACAGCAGCTTCACAATCCTTGCATCAAACGTGTGAGTTTCTACCTGAATTTCTTCATGATGTCAGAACTGCGTCCTGGAGCTGCTGTTGGATGTGAACTGCCTCCCACCCTCGTACATTTTTGCTGGAGGATGCTCCAAAGGTTTTCAATAGGGTTAAGGTTAGGGGAACATGGGGGGGGGGGGCAGGCACACAACACAAGTATCTCTCCTTTTATGCCCATGGCAGAAACCTTCCTCGTTTTGCCTGTATCTGCACTGAACTCGCACCTGCTCTGAATCAGCCACAACTCTCTCAACAATACAATGATCGTACCTGAGTTTTCGTGAAATATCCAAGGTTTTCATTTGCCTTTTCCAAGAAATTCAACTACTACACATCTTCCAGCAGCAGGATGATCCGTTTTCTTTCACCCTGCTGCTGGAAAAGTGGTCTGCTGAATGATGTGGAACTGGTCTCACCTGGCCAAGTAATCAGCACAGGTGTTTTGGTTTTGGTTTCAGTGATCCAAAGAGCCCTGAGACACAATGCTCCGTCCATGAGTTGAATTGAAAAACAAAACATTTCATCTTTATGACACTTAAATACAGTATAGTGTGGTATAAATATATACAGAAATACCATAAAAATAACTAAAAAAAACAAAAAACAACAAAAAAAAGCAGTAAAACAACAGACCTAAGTCCTTAATGTTCTATAATCTTCAGATCTAGTGCCTGCTAAATGCTAAAGGGTCACCTTCTCATCTACTTACTGTAACAAAAAAGAAAGCAAAAATGAATATTTATAATAATATTTCTTGTTGTAATAATAATTTCATTTCGTTTATCATTATAACTCATTACGTGTTTATCTTCATGCTTGGCCAGGAATGTTGAGTTGAAGGAAATTCAAATAAAAAAAAGTATTGCCAGTGCTAAAATTAGCATATTGCTAGTACTACATACATAGAGTTTGCAGAACTACTTGGTGTGTTAATAAATAAATATGTCAACAAATGAACTAAACTTATCCAGTTTTTATTGTGTCCAGACATTGTATCACCTTTTTTTGACCCCATGAACTTCAAAGTTCAGGTTTAAATATTCCGGGCTAATCCTGCAGATGTCACTGTGAGCATACTGTGTGTTTCATTTAGAAGAAAAAGAAACAAATCCAACACCATCATTACGGACTTAGAAGGTGTGAAAACCCAACAGTGGGAATCACATCCTGTTAAAACTTTTGATGACTGTTCAAGAAACGAGAAACGTAATGTTCTTGGCCAGTTTTACCCTGCAAAAAAAACAGACCTAAGTCAGACATGACCATGCAGCAACTGAACCAACATCTCTGGAATCCATCTCAGGGGAAGAAAAGGGGTTTGGTTTGAAAACCTGGGGTCTTTTTTGAGGGGCTGTCCAGACTTTTTCCTCCACTGCTCTGGTGTAGACGACCTCCCCCACATGGTGCCTAGACTCTCACTCTGTGGTTAATCACCTCCATGCTCCCAAGATGGTCAATGTGGAGCAGGTGTGGATTTTACACAGTCATCCCCCCAGGAAGGGAAATCGGAACATTGGATGGAGATCCAGAGTCGTGCATTAATAAACGATGGAAACTAACCACGGCATTAAAAGATGGAAACCATTAACTGCCTTGTAAGAAGTTTTATGCTCTTTTTCCATCCATACTGTTTCAGATTTTTTTTCTTGTGTCTAAAGGCCAGGATGAAATTCCACAATATAGCATAGGATTCAATTAGAAGCCTTGTTTTTTCCCCACTCAAATGAATAGCTCCACTCACAGCCTGTGGTTAAGTCCACACACCAGAGCGATTCTCTACTACAGCGCTCACATTAGAACAATCTGTCCTTCAAAACCCAAGTCCACGAGGAAAACTTTAATACAGTCCTGCTTAAAATCTAACACTGCTCCTGAATATTACAAAATAGGGGACAGATACTCAAGTCAGAACGTTATTTCTGCAAATTAATTTTCAATTATTTTACAAATAATAAGATAACTTTAACCTTTTATTTTCCTCCCTCTGCAGAGAGACAGACTCCAGAGTCTAAAATTGTCTTAAATCACACAGTCATGAACTGTAATCTGCTGAAAGAAGTCAGTCCAGCCAGAAAAGGAAGACGTTTCCAAGCCTGAAGCTCCTTCCACTGTGTTTCGAGCAGTGGGGGCAGACATGACAGTATGCAGCACAGGGCTGCAGATGCCTCCGTGTGTGCTGTAATGTGGTCTAACCATGCCAGCGTGCTGGGAAAATATGCAACTTTTCATCTCGGAGATGCAGGAAGATGCAAAGCAGCTGCTGGTCTGCCCAGCAGCTTGGGGGAAAAAGGAGCTCCTGCATGTGCCAAGTTACAAACCAGCGCCTTGGAGGAGTTGTTATTATGGTTCCCTGTGCTGTGTACATGGAGGGATTTGGGACCGAAAGGTTCAGAATGAGTTCTGAGTTATGACCCTGGTGAGCCACGATGAGTTTTAATTGACGTTCTTTTAGAAAGTGTAACCAGAGCGTTAGCTCCGTGGAGCTCTTTTCTGCATGATCAGCAGAAACAATCCACGTGTCACTGTGTAACTCAAAGTTGTAATGCTCAGCACTTTATGTGTCTGTTTTGTTTACTTTACAACTGAGTTAATCAATGTCTCGTGCCACCGCAGGACATTGTCTTTGCAACGGAAATGATATATTTATGTTTAATATAATATAATGTAAAAATAATTTAAAAAAATTAAATAAAAGATACCAGCTTACTAGACATTCTGAAAAACATTGCACATCAGTAGACCCATAAGTAGAAAGGAAAGGTATAGGAGAAAGAGGAAGAAGTGATGCAGCACAACTTTCTAGGGCCGTTCTAGTGGCTCTCAGTCTTATCTGCATCAGATTTGTTTCAGCACAAAATGCTAATTATAATATTATAGTTAACTGAAGGCATCATTGTCGTGTATGACAGGTCGTGAACCCAGATTAAAGATGAATGTGGGCTGAGGGAGGGCAGTCTGGATATACACTGACACAGGGATGTTATTAATGTGAGAAAAGAACAGACAGATGACAGCCAGGCCCTTAGCCTGAGTGAAGGGTGCTCTCACTTAAACTGTGAATTTGTCTTGCCTAATTTTGAGCCAGCTAAGTGCAGTTCAGTTTTGCCACTGTTTAACTGGAGGAAATCCAGAAGTTGAACTCATCACGACACTTGGTTAAGTGTGACAAGTGTGTTATCTACATAGGATTTGAAATGTTACACCTATGGAGAATCTTGCCAATGAGAAGTAAACAGATGATGAAAGGTTAAGGCTACAGGATTAGGGGTGGTAAATACTCTTTTAGATGACTCACTTTGTATCTTTTATACTTACCCTCAGACATTCTTCAGTTCCCCATGTTTTTCAAAGCGTACTGCAGAGCTGATCCTTTGATCATTGCTTGTCATATTTCAGTCCTTGCACAAAACCACTTTTTTTTCTTTTCTTTTTCATTTAAACTATTCATGTACCAATGAATTCTGAAGGGCATCAGGTCTGATTTTTAAAAAATGGATGAGCTTTTAACTGAACCAACATTCTAACATTTACAACAAAATTTTACCTTTTTTTAGGCACTATGCTCATACTAACCTTTAAAAAACTAAATGACAGGAAATGCTGAATTTTGTCAGATTGAAAACCGTTTTTGTTAAATAACTAATGAATGCCAAACTTGATTTAAAATAGAGAGAGGTAGAAACTGGAGAATTAATGGCAAAAATGAACTCATAAGAAACAGCATTGGTCACAGATTACATTTCATTGCGAAGACCAAGTGTGATGGTGAGGAGTTGTTATGTGATGTAACCCCACTTTGTTCAGTGACTGTTAAGATTGGCCTGAGTGAAATCATCCCAAACTGGTCTGTCAATAATAATGCAATGTTCCCTGAAACTCTGAAACTGGTCTCTGTATTTACTCGATGGAGCAGGAGTGTCGTATCCTGGATGTGCAGCCGACGTATGCAGGGAAAGATAATGAATGGTGACATGGTATCATCACCATGGACCAAATATTTCCAGCATCAAGATGAATTAGCATCTCAAAGATCATTAGCGTCTCAGCTCTCCAGATAATAGTGGTTCCAACCTGGCAGCCTGTGAAGCAGCTGCCGAATGGTTTGTTTCATAATCTTTACTTTGGGATGTGTCCTTGTTGAGATTCAGCACAAAAGAATATAAATCAGTGATTGAAACCTAGGCCTCCTACGAGTTGATGTGTATTTCAAAAGACACCCAGTCACAATCCATCCATCCATCCATCCATCCATCCATTTTCATCCGCTTATTCGTTACCGGGTCGCAGGGGGCAGCAGTCTCCACCCAAATCACATTGCACCGTACCAAGCCCCCTAAACCTTCCTGTGGGTGGTGAGTCCACTGGAAGGTATTAACCGCTCTAACCAGGATTCGAACTTGCCCAGGAGGTGAACCTTTACATTACCTTGTTCAGAGGGGTGTGTTATTAGGGACTGTATATAATTTCCACTAATAAACAAAAGACTGTGCACAGAAATGCCAACAGAATTTGTCCACCGTCTCTTCATAACAGTTTTTGATTTCGTCTTTTTAAGATTGATCTACATGAACAGAGATGAGAGCACACGCTCACACTCTCACACACACTTGAGTTGAGGTGTGAGCTTTTCATCCTCAAAACTTCAATCAAAGATGATGGCTCCTGGTGCACCCGCTATATCCCAGCACCTTGGTTCCTCTGCTGAGTGGCTCTCATCTGCAGAGGAAGGTTTTTCCACATGAAGTTCATCACATCCTCTCTCACTGTTCACCTCTCAATGCTGCTCTTTGTCCACCGTAATCTCAAGATCCTTCAGAACCGCTAGCTTGGGTTTCACATCAGGGAGTATCTCGGTGAGTTTGGAAGGGATTTCAAAGGCACAGAGGCCGCCATATCATCCTAGCATGGTCCCCGTGTCCTGCTCTTATCTTGACCCGCAGTCAAGTTGGCTACATGCTGCAACTGAATATCTCCTCTCTATAATCGATTTGTGTCTGTTGCTAGAGTTTGAAGACAATCACAGCACCCCACAGAAGGAGAGCACGTTCCTGAGTATTTATCCAATATACCGCAGTAAAGTGGGCTTTACACAAGCTCATAAACTGAGACGTAGAGAGGAAACAGGTATAAGGACCGTCTTAATCTCAACCACCCGGTTTCCATTTACAATAATCTAGGATAGGCCGTGGTGTGATAAAATCCTAACAACTTCCGCACACCCTGAAGATAAGCCTGCAGTGCACTTACAAGACGGGAAGTGATCTGGGATATCAGCCTTTCAAAGGAGGCCAGCGAAGCCAAGTGGGCTTCACTGATGTCCCGGCCGGTGGCTTTTAATCCTCGCTCAGCCCTCTGCTCTTGACAGAGTGACCCTTTTTTCTTCTATTTTAATTAAGACTTTACCTGTCCACATCAAAAGGCAACTCAGATTAGTCTTTTGATCTGCCTAAGCTCTTTATTACTCTCTATGGAATATGTTAAGCTTTCAGCTCCACAATGAATTATCTGTTTTGGGTAAATGCACACTGCTCGATGTTCATAACCTGCTGTGTGCGCCCAAGCTGGCAGCACTGAAAGACAAAGACTCCATGCAACTGTAAGAGAGGGTGTGTGGAGCAGCAGNNNGGGAAGAGGCAATTATTTGGCTTCACTGCTGCATCGGAAACTTCAATGGAACAACGCACAGGGAAGACTTGTGCACAGAATATCAGTGGTCACCGAGTTCGTCCCCTCTGCAGCATCACACATGGGTCAGTTTTCATTTCCCCCTTTAGAACAAGAGGATCAAAATGACACCAAAAGCAGACGATTACTTTTTTGAATTATTTATTTTTCCCCCCTTCATTAGTGAAACGATCAGGTAAAGGACGATCATCCATTTTTGCTACAAAGCTACTAAAGAAAAAAAAAAGTTAAATTAAATGAATCACCAAGATATAACCAGGTTATTGCGATCTGAACACGTCGTATGTGCGCTTCATTAAAGCATCAAAGACGTTATCAAAAAGAAAAAAATTGAAAATCCTCACAATTTCAGTCTCACCCTTTTCTGCATATTTAATATTCACTGAATATTATACAACATATTACCAGACCGGGGAAAAGGGCATTACTGACATTTCATGTTTGCTTGAATATTAGGATTTATTTGTGGTTCTACAGCATCTTTGAGGCTTAAAATTAGAAAAACAAACAAAAAAAATATATATATAAAAGGAAAACTACTGTCTTTAATACTTTGGAATACTCACTTGATAGGGATTTCAGGGTTTTTAAAAAAATAAAAATTACACATTGTGCGTCAGCTCTGATCTTTTCTTTTATAACTTTCTAAAAGCTTTTAGAGAGAAATAAAAATCAAATTGTACCAGAAAAAAAAAGGTTTTAATTGAGCTCAAAAACTCTTTTCTCTCTCTTCACCTATTGTTGTGAATTGTGAATAGCAGACCATTGTTCTCACAACAGTAGGTGTCAAAGGTGATGTATAGAATTAAAAAGAAAAAAAGATGCTGTTTTTTCTTGTCTGCAGACCTGGATTATTCCAACTATTAATTTCCTCATCGACATGTAATTT